CTCCTGTTCTCATTGATTTGCCTCTACTTCCTGTCTGGTTGTCCCACCTATACTTCCTGCCTGGCAACTGGCCAATCAGCATTTATTTAAAATATACTTACTTGACAGAATACAGACCATTGTCCCACACCATGAAATTGCACCCAATGTCTTAGATAACACTTAGCCTCTGGTGCTTCTTGGTGTAATAGCTGCTACAAATATGAATGCCACAAACATGGCCTCATGGGAGCTGTGCTGATACTAATGAAGCTGGCTGTTTTGCTGCGTCACTCACTGGATGTGTCAACACTGAAAAGATGAACATTCAGTGAGCCGGCACCATCCAGTGGAGACCAGTGTATGACGATAAAGGAATGGAGATAGTTATAAGATCTGTTTAAGTTGCAATGTAGATTTTAATTTGAAAGTAAAGTATGGAAAATTCAACTTCTACTTGCCATGTTCTGGTGTGATGTAAAGAATGCTCCCTACAATTATTGGGAAAAGTGGTTTAAACACTCCTTCTCTCTAGCTATGGGAGGTTAAAGTACCCCACACAATCAGAGCAACACTTTAAATACTGAAATAGACATGACAACCCTTAGTTCCTGTTGATCCAAGTATTAATAAAATATATGAAAGTAAATTTATACATGTATAAAATAATAGCTGTGTTGTTTTGAAAACCTACTTATTTTCATAAGAGTTGACATGAAATAGATTTAAAACTCTGTGTCTTTGTTCTTAATATGATCAACAATTTTTTTATCAATTGATAAAAAAAATCCAGATAAGCAATTTTCATTCTGAGCAGTCTCATTGTAACCCATGTGACTCTGAGCTTGCAACATCCCTGCCTTAGCCTCCCGAGAGCTGGAATCATAGTGTAAGTACTAGTGGTTGTTTTTGTTTAACTGGATTCAGAAGGAGAAGTTCCCAGGGAGGACAGCCTCCATCTCTGGTGTTTTCTTTGACTCCCTTCATTCACTTGGCCAAAAGTTTAGCATGTTCTACTGCTTCCGCCTTGTTTTTCTTTGTGTGTTGTAACAAGACGCTGAATGTTGACTACTTTGGTCCTGGACTTCTTACCCTCTTTGTTTAAGGGTTTTCTGACCACATATTGGTGGACATCATCTGTAGAGAGAGTGGAAAACTTTCAGATTCTGCTCACTCTTGTGGGCCCCACCTTCTGAGGCACAGTGGCACCTGCCAGTCCAGGACTTTCTTTCTCTCTTTTTGTTTTTCCCACAATAACCGAATTGAGAACATTCAGGTTGACATCCACAATACAACCCCTAATAGACTCACATTTCTCTCTCACTCTCTTTGGTCTAGAACGAGAATGCCCCTTACTCACCAGCACTTTGCAGAGGGTCAAGATGTCTTGCTTCATGAAAAACCTTGTATCTGGACCACATAACCCTTCCACTCTTCACCCAGAGCACCAGCAGCTACTTCTTCTCATGGGCAGTATGACATTTGTGGGCATTGTCCCCTTCAGGGAGTTCCTGACAGCTGGCGGCTGGAAAAAAACATTCATCTTCATCTTGATGCAACTGATGCCCCGGAGATCCCATGAAAAAGAACTGAATTTTATTTTATTTTTGGTCAATTGTTTTTCTTAGCATATTTTATCCTATTTATCTTAATTTTTGTGTAACTGATTTTAAAATTATTTTTTATTTTGTGTGTATGAAGTGCCATGCCTGTTGCCTATGGAAGCAAAAATAAGACATGGGATTCCTAGAAACTGGAATTACAGATGGTTGTGAGCTGCCCTGTGGATGCCAGGAACCAAACCCAAGTCCTCCAAATCCAAGTTAAGAGCAGAAAGTGCTCTTAACTGCTGAGCCATCTCTCCAGCTCCAAATAGGCTATGTTTTGAAGTGAGCATGATGCCACTGACTTAAGATGACATCTTTATCATATACTCAATTCTGTATATATTTTGCCTTTGGACATTTTCTTTGGGTCAGTGATCTATCAGTTCGTGTGTACCTGTTGAAGTCTGTGGTATAGTTTTCTAACTGTTTTCCCCTTTCCTGCTAGCTCTCCTTTCAACAATGCCCTTGGTTTACTTGCTCATATTTTCATGTGGTTTGCCTTGCACGGGGAGACGTGTGTCTCAGCCTGTGCTTTGCTGCCAGTTCTGTCGCCACCTAAGATGGTTCATGATCAGGGATGCACGAAGTTGTGATTTGCAGAGGGAAATGCTCTGACTCATGCCAATGTGATACACTTCGTAGGAGCTGAGTCATCCGCTTTGGCTGTCGTTCTGTATAAACTGCTTTGTTTATACTAAGGTAGCAGAGGGCAAAATTAGAATACAGTATTTATTACTATTTTTATTATTGTTCTCGAGTTCAGTGTAATTCAATGGAGAAATTCCATTCCAACCTAAATTCACAAGGAGCCTGCTTCTTGAGATGGTTCCATGTTCTGTTACTTCACCAGTATCTATCCTGCCTAGCAGGAAGTTACTGTCTAGACCAAGAGATGGCTTTGCTCTGATAGTTCCGAGACAGAGAGAGAAAGAGAGACTCAGTAGAATATTGTGTTATATCCCAATAAACATATTGTAGCCTGACAATACCTAATACACCTAACTGTGAAGCATTGCGGCACAGTCTTGCATGCCTTAAAAGAGCTCAGAATGCATTAGCCTATGGCAGAGCAAAGCATTGGGCACATGAAGTCTGTTGGACCATGACGTGCTGAATAACGCTGTAGTTGGTTGAAGACTACCCCAAAAGAGAAACATGGGATGGTTGTCCATCAGATGCTTTTGCTCCATCAGAAAGTGAAGAGTGTTGACTGGCAGCTTTGAGGCTGCTGTTGAGGTGGTGTTGAGGACCACCAGGAAAGGTGCAATTACAGTGTTATTTCAAGATTCAAAAGCATATTTTACCTAAACTACTCTTCTCATTTTGGATGAACTGTAAAATTAACTGTAGCTTAGTGGCCTGAGGACAACTCTGGGCAGCTGAATAATTTGCTTCTGATGAGCACTGACTGTGGAGTGAGAAGGACAAACGAGGAGGCTCACAGCCCAGTCCATCGCGCTGCATCCCTGCTTCTGTTAGCTTTCCTGTTTCTAATGCTATTGTCCCCATTGTTTTATACATTTAGAGTGTATGTGCTTGCATGTGTGCGTGTGTGGTATGTGTGCATGTGCGTGTGTGTGCGTGTGTGGTGTGTGTGCATGTGTGTGGGTGCGTGTGTGGTGTGTGCACATGTGCATGTGTGTGAACGTGTGTGAACGTGTGTGTATGTGTGTGTAGTGTGTATGCATGATGTGTGGTGTGTGTATGTGTATGGTATGTGTGTCTGATGTGTATGTGTGGTATGTGTAATGTGTGCATGTGTGTGTGTGTGAATGTGTGTGTGTGAACGTGTGTGTGTGTGAACGTGTGTGTGTGTGAACGTGTGTGTGTGTGAACGTGTGTGTGTGTGAACGTGCGTGTATGTGTGTGTAGTGTGTATGCATGATGTGTGGTGTGTGTGCATGTGCGTATGTGTGTGCGTGTGTGGTGTGTATGCATGATGTGTGGTGTGTATGTGTGTGGTATGTGTGTCTGGTGTGTATGTGTGTGTGATGTGTGCGCATGTGCGTGTGTGTAAACGTGTTGTAAAGGAAAAAATATATATATCACTCTTGATGCTGGAATGCAGGGCCTTAGAAATAAACAATTCAGGCCCCTTGCTGTAAGGGAGGGGAAGGGAGCCTTTTGTCCTGCGACAGGATATGAGTCAGGATATTTACAGTCTCCAGCTAGGAAGGCAGGAAGAGATAAGAAAAACAGGTAGCACAAACCCCTCCTTGGTATCCAGGTGGGTCTCCAGCCAGGACAGGAAGCCCCTGGACAACCCCCCTCCTTGGTATTTAGACGAAAGGTCAAGAATGTGCCAGGACAGGAAGCCCCTGGACAACCCCCCTCCTTGGTATTTAGATGAAAGGTCAAGAATGTGCCACTCAGCTTAGCCTTATTTAAATTGACCAATGGAATGAATCCCTGTAACCACGCTTTTTTGCTTCTGTACCCGCGCTTTTGCTCTCCTATAAGAACCCCTCACCCCCAACCTGGGCGCGCAAGTCCTTCGAGAGACTTGTCGCCCAGGTACCTGTGCATCCACCAATAAACCTCCTGCTGTTTGCATCCGGCTGCGTGTTTTCGACTGATCTTTGGGCACGGGGTCTTTCCCGAGGGAAGACGCCCACGGGAGTCTTTCATTTGGTGCATTGGCCGGGAACTTGAGGCCCCTATCCCAGAGACCGCCGAACCACTGCCGGGAGGTGAGGTAAGCTGGCCAGAATTCCATGTTTTATGTTCTATGTCCTGTACTTGTCTTACGTCTTTGGCGTTTGATTGTTGGGCTGTGAATTTGAATTTGTACAATTCAGCTGGGTCGATTTGTATTTTGTCGGGCCTCGGAAAGGAACTGACGAGTTCGTACTTTCCCCCCCCCCCCGCACCCCAGAAGACGTTCCGAGGGAGTTTTGGAGCCCGATTTTTCGGGGCTCGTTTGTCCGAACCCGTACGGGGTTTGTTTGGGAGGTGGGATTTCCGGAGCCCCTTTGTAACCTCCGTTCGTGCAGCGTGTTTGACTGTCAGTCTGTTTGTCCTATTGTGCATCTTTTGTCTGTTTGTTTATTGGAACACCAGCTTGGGGCAATCTTTAACCACCCCTTTAAGCCTCACTCTAGGACACTGGTCAGACGTCTCTAAACGAGCGAGCAATCAAACGCTCGAAGTCAAGAAGAAAAAATGGCAGAGCCTCTGTTCCTCGGAATGGCCCACATTCAACGTGGGCTGGCCGCGGGACGGCACTTTCAACAAGAATGTTATTTTGCAGGTCAAGGAACGAGTCTTCGACAAAGGGCCCCATGGACACCCTGACCAGGTCGCTTATATTGTTACTTGGGAGAGTTTGACTAATGACCCACCCCCCTGGGTAGCCCCCTTTATTTCTCCAGAGAAATCCCAACCCTCCCTAGGTCTCACTCCTTCGGCCCCGACTCCTCCTCCGCCTTCCCCTCCTCCGCCTTCCCCTCCTCCGCCTTCCCCTCCTCCGCCTTCCCTATCAAAGACCCCCACCCCTACGGTCTCCTCCCTTTATCCTGCACTGACGAAGGAGGAGACCCCCAAACTACATGGAAGACCGAAGGAGACCCATAAGCAGCCAGCTGTCCTTCCCCCTGACCCAAATTCCCCTCTTGTCGACCTCCTATCCAAAGATCCTCCCCCCTACAACCCCCAGCAGGAGCCCGGGAATAATGAAGCGGATCCTGCGACACCCTCGCCCTCGTCACGAAGCTCCCCACCCACTGCTTCCCCTGTTGCGAGCAGGCTCCGGGGAAAGCGTGAACCGTCTCCCCCGGATTCCACCTCCCAAGCATTTCCCCTGCGACAGGGAAATAACGGCCAGTTTCAATACTGGCCCTTTTCCGCCTCTGATCTATACAATTGGAAACAACACAATCCTCCCTTTTCCAAGGATCCTATGGCATTAACTAGTTTAATAGAGTCTATTCTGCTTACACACCAACCAACCTGGGACGATTGCCAACAGTTACTACAGACCCTCCTCACTTCTGAGGAAAAACAAAGGGTCTTCGCAGAGGCACGAAAGCAGGTTCCCGGAGAAGATGGGAGGCCAACCCAGTTGCCCAACGAGATTGATGCTGTCTTCCCCCTCACCAGGCCTGACTGGGATTTTACTATGATCGCAGGTAGGACACACCTACACCTTTATCGCCAGTTGCTCATAGCGGGTCTCCGAGGGGCTGGTCGTCGCCCCACTATTGGCACAGGTAAAGCAAACGATTCAAGGGGCAGATGAGTCTCCAGCAGCTTTTTTAGAAAGGCTTAAGGAAGCATATCGTATGTATACGCCTTATGATCCCGAGGACCCAGGGCAGGCTAACGGCTTGTCGATGTCCTTTATCTGTCAGTCAGCACCTGACATCAGGAACAAGTTACAGAGGCTGGAGAATTTGCAGGGGTATACGCTACAGGATCTACTTAAGGAGGCAGAGAAAATCTTCAACAAAAGGGAGACTCAAGAAGAAAGGGAGGACCGTATCCGTAGAGAGAAAGAAGAAAGGGAAGATAGATTGAGAAGGGAAGCAGAGGAAAAGGAGGAGGCTAGAGATAGAAAAAGGAATAGGGAATTGAGCCGCCTCTTGGCCGCCGCAGTTCAGAGCCAGGGAAGTCGACAGGGAGATAGGATGGGAGAACGGAGAGGCCCTCGCGTGGAACGCGACCAATGTGCCTACTGCAAGGAAAGAGGACACTGGGCGAAAGACTGCCCTAAAAATACTCGTAAGCCCAGAGGCCCCAAACCACGAGCCTCACTCCTGGCCCTAGATGAAGACTAGGGGGGTCAGGGCCAGGAACCCCCCCCCCGAGCCCAGGTTAACACTCGATGTCGGGGGGCAGCCGGTTACTTTCCTAGTAGATACCGGAGCTCAGCATTCGGTTCTTACCCGGTCACCTGGACCGCTCAGTGAATGGACTGCTTGGGTACAAGGAGCCACCGGCAGAAGACAATATCGCTGGACCACCGAGCGGAAGGTGCAATTAGCAACTGGTAAAGTAACTCATTCCTTCCTACATGTTCCAGACTGCCCCTATCCATTACTGGGGCGAGACTTACTCACCAAACTGAAAGCCCAAATTCATTTTGAGGGGGCAGGGGTTCGAGTGTCAGGCCCAAACGGGGACCCCCTCCAGGTCTTGACTTTACAATTGGAGGACGAATACCGGCTATACGAACAGGACCCCAAGGTACAAGGGTCCAGGGACTTGGACATATGGCTTACAGAGTACCCACAGGCATGGGCCGAGACGGGAGGTATGGGGCTAGCGCTACAGCAGCCCCCGTTGGTTGTAGCCCTGAAGGCCTCAGCCACCCCAATCTCAGTCAAGCAATACCCCATGTCAAATGAGGCCTACCAGGGGATAAGACCTCATATCAAGAGGCTATTAGAAGAAGGCATCCTGACTCCCTGCCGGTCACCTTGGAATACCCCCCTCCTCCCAGTAAAGAAACCAGGGACAAAGGATTATCGGCTGGTACAGGACCTCAGGGAAATAAATAAGAGAGTTGAAGACATACACCCGACCGTCCCTAATCCATATAATTTACTAAGCACCCTGCCACCTTCACACACCTGGTATACGGTGCTAGACTTGAAGGACGCCTTCTTCTGTCTCAGATTAAGCCCCAAAAGTCAACCCCTTTTCGCCTTCGAATGGAGAGACCCCGAATTGGGGATTTCAGGCCAACTGACATGGACCCGGCTCCCACAGGGCTATAAGAATAGCCCCACCCTATTTGATGAGGCCTTGCACCGGGACCTTGCGGACTTCAGAGTTCAACACCCGTCATTGATCCTGCTCCAGTACGTGGATGATCTTCTGCTGGCAGCCCCCACAGAACATGACTGCTGACAAGGTACGGGGGCCCTATTGCAGACCCTGGGACGGCTGGGCTATCGAGCATCTGCCAAAAAGGCCCAGATATGCCAGACTGAGGTGACTTATTTGGGATACAAATTAAAAGAGGGACAGCGTTGGCTCACAGCCGCACGCAAAGAGACTGTATCTCGCATACCTGCACCCCGAAACCCTCGCCAGTTAAGGGAATTCCTGGGGACAGCTGGGTTCTGCTGCTTATGGATACCAGGCTTCGCTGAAATGGCAGCTCCCCTCTATCCCCTCACCAAGCAGGGGGTCCCATTTGAATGGACAGATAAACAACAAGGGGCTTTCGAGAACATCAAACGGGCCCTCCTCTCCTCCCCGGCACTGAGTCTGCCGGATGTCACTAAGCCATTCGAACTGTTTGTTGATGAAAAACAAGGATATGCCAAGGGGGTCTTGACCCAAAGACTTGGACCATGGAAACGCCCTGTCGCATACTTATCAAAGAAATTAGACCCAGTGGCCTCAGGCTGGCACCCTTGCCTACGGATGGTGGCAGCCATTGCCATCCTTATTAAGGATGCTGGCAAACTGACTTTGGGACAGCCCCTGACCATTCTGGCACCCCATGCCGTCGAGGCCTTGATTAGGCAGCCCCCTGACTGGTGGCTCTCCAACGCCTGCATGACCCACTACCAATCGTTGCTGTTGGATACGGACCGAGTCCAGTTTGGACCTGTAGTCGCCCTTAATCCGGCGACCTTGCTACCCACACCGGAAGGACCAGACCAGCATGACTGCCTTCAGATCCTCGCAGAAATGCATGGAACCCTGACTGCCTTCAGATCCTCGCAGAATGCATGGACTTGACTGATCAGCCCCTCCCAGATGCGGACCACACCTGGTACACCGATGGGAGCAGTTACCTACTAAATGGAGAACGCAGGGCGGGAGCCGCAGTTACCACGGAGACCCAGGTAATCTGGGCCAGTGCATTGCCCAGCGGCACCTCGGCCCAACAAGCTGAACTCATCGCTCTGACTCAAGCCCTTAGATTGGCAGAAGGTAAGAAACTGAATGTTTATACTGATAGTCGGTATGCTTTCGCCACTGCACACATACATGGAGAAATATACCGGAGACGAGGGCTCTTAACCTCAGAAGGCAAGGAAATTAAAAATAAAACAGAGATCCTTGCTCTATTAGAGGCCTTATTCCTCCCCAAAAGACTGAGCATTATGCATTGTCCCGGACACCAAAAAGGAAATCACGCCGAGGCCAGAGGAAATCGGTGGGCGGATGAAGCGGCCTGAGAGGCTGCTTTGGGACTGCAAATTCTCACCCTAGTATCTGAGCCCGTCCAATCCACAATAGACTGGGCCTATGATAAAGAGGACATACACCTACTCCAAAAATTGGGGGCAGAATACAACTCAGCGAATAGACGCTGGATTTATCGGGGAAAAATAGCAGTGCCCATAAAAATAACCCATGAACTTATAGACTACTTACATAAATTGACCCATTTAGGTACAAAGAAAATGAAAACCCTCCTAGACAGAATGGAGACTGGACAATTCCTCCTGAACAGGGATAGGGCACTCCAACGGACAATAGATAATTGCAGGGCCTGTGCCCAAATTAATACAGGCCACTCGAAAACCCTCCAAGGGGTGCGTCTCCGAGGACACCGGCCTGGCATCCACTGGGAAATAGACTTCACCGAAATTAAACCTGGTTTATATGGGTACAGATACTTGCTGGTTTTTATAGACACCTTTTCAGGATGGGTAGAGGCCTATCCCACCAAACATGAAACAGCCAGGATGGTTGCCAAGAAGTTATTGGAAGAAATTTTTCCCCTATATGGGATGCCAAAGGTATTGGGATCTGATAATGGGCCAGCCTTCGTCTCCCAGGTAAGTCAGTTGGTGGCCAAGTTACTGGGGATTGATTGGAAATTACATTGTGCTTATAGACCCCAGAGTTCAGGACAGGTAGAGCGTATGAACAGAACTATTAAGGAGACTCTGTCTAAATTAACGCTCGCAACTGGCACAAAGGATTGGGTGTTGCTCCTACCCCTAGCTCTATATCGAGCTAGGAACACTCCTGAGCCACATGGCCTTACCCCATTTGAAATATTGTATGGGGCACCGCCTCCAGCCGTACATTTCTTCGATATGGACATTGCAGACTATGCTAACTCCCCTTCTCTACAAGCCCATTTACAGGCCCTGCAGCTGGTACAACAAGAGGTCTGGAAACCCCTGGCAGCAGCCTACCAAGACAGCCTCAACCAGCCGGTGGTGCCCCATCAGTACCAGATTGGAGACACTGTTTGGGTCCGTAGACATCAGACCAAGAACCTGGAACCGCGCTGGAAGGGACCGTACACTGTTCTCCTGACCACCCCAACGGCGCTCAAGGTGGACGGAATTGCTGCCTGGATCCACGCCTCACACGTGAAAGCCGCCAGCCCAGAACAACAGACGGCCAGCCAAAAGGAAGGATGGAAGATCCAACGCTCCCAAAACCCCTTAAAGATAAGACTGGTTCGAAAATGATATTATGGGCATTAGTCTTTCCCATATTGATCTTGGGCTCCATGGGGGCTCCTAATGGAAGCCCCCATGCAATTTATTCCTTAACCTGGCAGATTATTTCCCAGACTGGGGAGGTAGTCTGGAAAACGACTGGCCAACATGCCCTCAATACCTGGTGGCCTCCCCTCACCCCGGATTTTTGTCAGCTAGCTGCGGGACTAGACTCTTGGGACATAGCCACCACTGACCATAGTCAATTAACGAGAAGCATGCCGGCCACGGGGGGAGGATCTGTAGGCTGCTCCAACCCCGGGCGAAGATATCGATTAGCAAAGGCCGACTTTTATGTCTGCCCCCGGGATGGCCGAGATCGAGCTACGGCTTACAAATGTGGGGGATATAATGAAATGTTCTGTGCGGCTTGGGGATGTGAAACGACTGGGGATGCCTACTGGAAACCCCATTCCAGCTGGGATAAGATCAGGGTGACCCGCGGCTGGGAGAAAAGGAGATGGGATGAGGAGTACTTTACAGAGTATTGCCAGCTCTCCAAATGTGGAACTGATGGAGAATGCTTGCCCCTCAATATCACCTTCACTGAACAGGATAAAAAGGCCACTGAATGGCAACAAGGGTATACTTGGGGGCTCAGATGGTACTTGGAGTCCACAGACAGGGGGTTAGTTTTCAAGATACAGCTTAAAGCAGAGGCTATAGTCCCCCGGTCAATAGGACCCAATCAGGTCCTGGCAAATCAGAAGCCCCCATCTTTACCCAAAGCGCCAGCTACCCCTCGCCTGACTAACCTTACTACTGCTCCCACCACCACCTTTACCCCCCAGCAGCCACAACTAAGCAGGAAAGAGGAACGGGAGATCGTCTTTTAGACCTCATCAGGGGGGCTTACCAGGCCTTAAATCACTCGGACCCGGATCGGGCCCACGATTGCTGGCTCTGCCTTAACCCAAGTCCCCCATATTATGAGGGGATAGCTCTCAGGGGCAACTATAGCAATGTCACCTCACCACCCCCCATCTGCCAGAGCATGAACCATCATCTAACCCTCACTCAGGTGACAGGTACTGGAGTTTGCATAGGAGCTGCGTCTGGCCAGCCCTTTTGCATCTCAACCGCGCCCGTTATCAAGGGAAACTATTATCTAGTCCCACCAAATGGGACCCTCTGGGCCTGTAATACCGGCCTAACCCCCTGTGTTTCGGCAATAGTATTCAACCAAACGCATGAATATTGTGTCTTGGTACAAATCTGGCCGCGCATCACGTACCACTCAGATGAGGCGGTCCTCCAATATTATGAATACCTTCCCCGGAGGGAAAGACGGGAAGCTATTACCCTGACCCTGGCCGTACTCCTGGGGGTGGGGGGCGTTGCGGCAGGGATAGGTACGGGGGCTGCCGCTCTAGTACGCACGGACCAATATATGCTTTTACATCAAGCTATGAATGAAGACCTAAGGGCTCTTGAGAAGTCAGTTAGAACCCTGACGGAATCAGTAGCTTCCCTGTCAGAGGTGGTACTACAAAATAGAAGAGGACTAGATTTGCTCTTCCTCAAGGAAGGAGGCCTTTGTGCGGCCTTAAAGGAAGAATGTTGTTTTTATACTGATAAAACCGGCGTAGTGACTGAAACTCTAGATAAACTAAAAGAAAGGCTAGAAAAACGTAAAAAAGAATTTGAAGCCCAGCAGACATGGTACGAAGAGCTTTGGAACCGATCCCCATGGTTCACTACCTTAATCTCTTCTCTAATGGGACCTATAATCCTCTTGATGTTAATTCTTACAGTTGGCCCTTGCATTGTAAATTGGTTGATTCAATTTGTTAAGGATAGACTTTCGGTTGTTCAAGCCCTGGTCTTAACTAGCCAATACCAAAGAGTAAATCAAAGAGAAACAGAGGTCCTGTAAATACCTACAAAAAAAAATGGGGAAATGTAAAGGAAAAAATATATATATCACTCTTGATGCTGGAATGCAGGGCCTTAGAAATAAACAATTCAGGCCCCTTGCTGTAAGGGAGGGGAAGGGAGCCTTTTGTCCCGCGACAGGATATGAGTCAGGATATTTACAGTCTCCAGCTAGGAAGGCAGGAAGAGATAAGAAAAACAGGTAGCACAAACCCCTCCTTGGTATCCAGGTGGGTCTCCAGCCAGGACAGGAAGCCCCTGGACAACCCCCCTCCTTGGTATTTAGACGAAAGGTCAAGAATGTGCCAGGACAGGAAGCCCCTGGACAATCCCCCTCCTTGGTATTTAGATGAAAGGTCAAGAATGTGCCACTCAGCTTAGCCTTATTTAAATTGACCAATGGAATGAATCCCTGTAACCACGCTTTTTTGCTTCTGTACCCGCGCTTTTGCTCTCCTATAAGAACCCCTCACCCCCAACCTGGGCGCGCAAGTCCTTCGAGAGACTTGTCGCCCAGGTACCTGTGCATCCACCAATAAACCTCCTGCTGTTTGCATCCGGCTGTGTGTTTTCGACTGATCTTTGGGCACGGGGTCTTTCCCGAGGGAAGATGCCCACGGGAGTCTTTCAGTGTGTGTGTGTGAACGTGTGTGTATGTGTGTGTAGTGTGTATGCATGACGTGTGGTGTGTGTATGTGTGTCTGGTGTGTATGTGTGTGTGGTATGTGTAATGTGTGCACACCACAATGTGATGTAGAAATTGAAGAACAACTCACTGAAGTTATTTCTCTCCTTTCATCACACGGGTTCCAGGGATGAACCCCAGGTCCTCAGGATTTGTGGCCAGCGCCTTTCTTGATGAGCCTCCTTACCAGCCCTGCTTCCATTATTCCTACGTCATCCCTCTCATAGCTTCTTCTCTGAGGTAGGATGAGCCAGGACTAACCTTCTTAGGCTTTAGAAAGTAATTGAACTTCACAGAGAAGGACATCTGAGAGACCCTCGCTGTTGACAACAGACCTTGCGGACCTATTGGCCCTCTCCCTATCCTCTAGTTTCTTCATAAAATGGTTTAATCAACACTTTTCAAAAAGTGTGATCAAAGTTTAGTGTTGCAATTCCCAACTGTGATAGTCAGCTTTACTATTAGTCATGAGATGACTTACAAAGAGAAAAACTGGTCTTGACTCACAATATTGAAGGTCGCTTGGTGGTCAGCTGGCCTCACTCACCATTCAGGTGTGTGAGGCAGCACACAGCAGTGGATCAAAACTGCTCACCGCATGGCAGCCACCCAGAGAAAGAGCTGGAGAAAAAAATCACAGAGCTCTAATACCCTTTTAGGAGATACCCAGAGTCCTAGGACAGACCCCCAGGGCCCTAACACCCTTTCAGAAAATACCCCAGAGTCCTAGGACAGACCCCCAGGGCCCTAACACCCTTTCATAAGATGCCCCAGAGTCCTAGGACAGACCCCCAGGGCCCTAACACCCTTTCATATGATGCCCCAGAGTCCTAGGACAGACCCCCCCCCCACCGTAAGTTTGTATAACTTCCCGATAGTACCAAGCTGGAACCAGTCTGTTAGTGTGTGGGTGCCTGGGCAATAATTAGCCAGACCATGAATCTAGTTCCCTGATGGAACTGTTCTAATTATTATATTTTTTCACTTCTAGGAAAACACCGTTTTGGAATAAGGTGATTTTCTTGGCGACTGGTTAAAATGAAATACACTTGATGTCTAAGAAATCTAAAGTTTTTTCCTCCAAAAATTGTATTTATTTATTCTTTCAGTATAGATATCAGAAATATCTATATTGGTGCCAGGGATATGGCTCAGCTGGTAAAGTGCTGGCTACATAAAAATAAGGACGAATTTGGTCCCTAGCACCCACTTAAAAAGAAGAAGAGGCAGTTGCGTGTGGTGGCATTCAATAGCTGAAGAGTCAGTGAGCCTAGTGAGACTCTCAAAACCATGGCAAATGGTTCCTGAAGAATAATGCCTATGTTCTGTGGTCTCTCATGTGTGTACACAGCTGTATGCACACATTGCCCACCCCCACACGAAATAATTTCAATTTTTGAAGGCAAAGGGACATATTAAATCTGTTTCCATCGTCTTTGGGTGAGCTTACACCTGGGTCCAGACCACTTGAGGCTTCTCTTGCTGACACACGAGTTTCTCTTTCTTGTTATGTCCTTTTCATTTTTCAGAGTTGTGGTTTCACCATGTAGCTCTGGCTGTCCTGAAACTCACTATGTAGACCACGCTGGCCAGAAGCTCACTTGAGAGACCTGGGATTAAAGTCATGAGCCACTCTGCCCAGCTAACATAGCAATTTCAGTGATGTGATCCTGTGTAGTTCTGTTATACTCTGTTAAAATGTCTACATTTTGTTCAACATTCAGAAGGAAAGGAGAGAGACATCTCTCCATGAATACACAGAGTATGCTGGCTTTTCTGCCTCCCCTAAATGCAGTGGCAGTGTCATACCTGCCATAAGAGGATCCATCCATATTGCCTTAGGGTTTCCATTGCTGTGATAAAGAACACAAGGGCCAATGGGAGGAAAGAGTCCATTCCACTTCATTTTCATAAATGGAGGGAACTCGGGCAGGGACCACAGAGGAACACTTCTTACTGACTTGCTCCTCGTGGCTTGCTCAGTCTGCTTCCTTATAAACCCTAGGACCACCTACCCCAGGGTGGCACTGCCCACAGTGGGTTAGATTGTCCTATATTAATCACTAATTAAGAAAATTTCCCACAAGCTTCCCATGAGTCAGTCTTATAGAGGCATCTTCTCAGTTCTGGTTCCCTCTTCCAGGTTAGTCTAGCTTGTGTCAAATCTACAGAAAGAAAAACCAGGACACATACCGGCTTCTTCAAGAAGTCAAGCTTGCTGAAAACTTTAGTAATACTGTTTTCATTATTGGACTGCTTAAACTTTTTCTCTTAGATAACAGTATATTTTGTTGAGAATAATTGTGCTGTCAGGTAAAGGAAAATAATCATTAAACACTGATGCTATCTTCCTCTTGACAAGTCTAATTTCCCTGGTTCATAACACACTGAGGCTCTGCTGATGAAATCAAGCAG